CATCTGTGCAGTTCTTCCCATTTCTTTCGGAGAATCACCCTTCCAGCTCAAACTCTAGACTGTAAACTCAAAGTCAACATGATGCCTATTACAGTGCCCTGTGGGTGGCCTATTATTCACCTTACATATTTAATTTTAGGCCACTGGTTTCTAACTGAGGAAATCTGACAACACACATTCCCAAGCACACCCTCCTCTGTGCACTTAGAATAAGAGGGTGACAAGAGGATCTGTTTCACTATTATATCAAGTGACTGATAAAAAATGTTTTATTAGGCACTTACTATGTGCCAGATCCTACAGTTATGACTTTTTGTTAAACCTATTTTCTCCTTTAATTCTAACTTTGAGACACTGTTACCAGGATCCCCACTTACACAACTAAAAAAATAGAAAAACAGAGAGGGAGTGGCTTGCTTTTCCTCTACTTAGTTGTTTGGCTGGGAGTTAAGAGCACCAGGACTCCCACCCAGGCCAGACTCCGGAATCTACATCCTCTTTCCAGCACACCGCACAGTCTGCAAGGGTGAGAAGAGCCAGACTGGCTTTCTGGGGAAGGTGTGAGCATGTGCTCATGGGCGTGTGTGAGTGTCCACACGTGTGTGAGGAGGGGAGTCAGGCAGAAGTGGGGGAGTGGGAGCCCTGCGCTACATAAGAGCTAAGGGACAGGCGCAGAAATAAAGGCAGGAACAGGGCAGGGCAGTTGGAGGGCAGTCTCAGCTATGTAAATGCTGTACAGCATTCTCTGGTCAGAGCCTGACAGGTCAGGGCCTGGCCTGAGAAGACAGTGCTTGCCAGAAAAACAGGGTCAACGAGGAGCCAAAATGGACCTGCCCAGAGCTTAAACAGGAAAAACCTTTCAAGAGGCCAAGTGGGTGGGGAAGAGAGGAAGTAGCTGGACTTGTGGGGGGCTGTAAGAGCTGGGTGAGCACCCATCTGCCTTGGTGCAGGGCTCTCTGTGGGTCAGAGTGGGCATCAGACAGGGCCTCTTCAAAAACTGAGCCCAGGAAAACCTGTCCCAAACTAGACATTGCTCATTGTTGTGGTAATAAGCTCTAAACACTCCCTTCCTCTATGGCAGGGATTCTCAAAGTGCAGTCCCCAGACCCGCAGCATCAGCTTACTTGAAAAGTGTTAAAAGTCTAAATTCTTGGGCTCCATCTCAGACACACTAACATAGACTGAATGTTCTGTTTCACCCCCAACTTCAACCTCAGTGTGAGGATGGGGCCTCCAATGCAGTAATTAAGGTGAGCAAGGTCGTAAGAGTGGGATCCTGATCCAATAGAATTATCCTTGTAAGAAGAGACACCAGTTCCCAGTACTGGAAACTGCCCCCCCACCCCCCACCCCCCACCAAAAAAAAAGAAGAGACACCAGAGAGCTCACTTGCTTGTTCCCTATGAGCATGAAGGCTGAATGAAGACAAAGCAGCTTCTGCAAGCCAGGAAGAGAGCCCTCACCTGAAACTAAACTCTGGTGCAAACTTGAGCTTGGACTTCCAGCCTCCAGAACCGTGAGAATATCAATCTCTTTTGTGTCAGCCATGTAGTCTGTGGTACTTTGCTATGGCAGCCTTAGCGACTAAGACACTCACTCTGGGCAAATACCTGTTTTCCAAAGCTCTCCAGGTGATTCTGGCACAAGCTTGATTTTGAGAACTGCTGCCCTACGCATGCGCTAAATTCAAAGACCTTCACCCAACTCAGGAAGCGTTTAGTGGAGTGCCTAGGGGAACAGAGATGAATAGTCCCAGGCCTAGAAGCTCTCAACTGAAAGAGAAAAGTGAACAATAACAAGAGAAGACAGCAGAAGTCATGGTAGGCTCCTGCACACAGAATTAGACGAATATGTAAGAGTTGTCTTTCACTCTGTAAGAGTAGCCTATAGGCTGCATCCTAAAGGCTGCCCATCCTCGCTACAGGAGGAAGGCATGCTGGTAAGCCTGGGTATAGTCTTTCCCCTCCTTTTGCCCCTAGGAGACCCCAATCTCAGAGGCTGGTCCTGCTAAATGAAACAGATTTGTTTCTTCTGTGGGAAATTCAAGGCTACTTCAAAGACCAGAGGGAAGAGCAAGTGTGAAAACTTGTACGGAGAAAACTAATGAACAGCAACAAAACCATCAATCCAGTTGTCATCATTATTATGAAAATTAAGAAAGTATGTTTCTGCCTAGCTGGACACTAGTCACATCTTTATATCATAAGGTTGAAATATGATGAAATAAAGGCACATCTTGTTTATGCTGGTAAATGCTTACAATTGGCTCTTTGGGGTAGAGGGTGAGGTAACAATATCTAGGGCTTGCCGATTTCCATGGTGTAAATACTTCCACCACAGTCATTCTCAAATTATCAACCTGATGTTACTGACTATGGAGCTGGGAGAGGTGCACAGAACTGGCTTTGTGGGCTGGCACATGCCACTGAGTTCTCAAAATCAATCACTTGTCCTTAAAAACTCAAATGTATTTCCAAGGATTCCTGCAGAAGAAGCTCAAGTAGTATCCCTGGAGGGGCGGCTCCCAAGTCTAATGCCATCAAACAGATTAATGCACAAAAATAAGACATCAAGGGGAAGAAAGTTCAAACATTTTAGAAAGTAAGTTGATAAATAAGCTTAATGGAAACCAATCTGCAGATCCAGGAAAAGTTTCTGAATAAATGTTAAGCTTTCCTGAGCTAACTTCTTAAATCACACACTTGACCTCTTTTGAAATTATGAAGACAACTATGTCCTTAGTTTGGCTTGGAACCTTATCTTCCTCCTACAAACATTTTATATACAGACAGCCCCTACTTATAATGGTTCAACTCAATTTTTCAAACAAAGGTGCAAAAGTGATATCCATTTAGTAGTAGACAGTGAACTTTGAAATCTGAATTTGATCTTTTTCTAGGCTAACAATCTGCAGTACCATACTCTCTGTCCATGCTGGGCTACAGCGGCGAGCCGCAGCTCCCAGTGAGCCGTGTGATCATGAGGCGAAACAGCTGGCACTCCACAGTGTGCTGTTACTAAGCTATCGTGTTGGGTAGTTTGGATGTATTAAACGCATTTTCAACTTATGGCATCTTCCATTTAGGATGGGCTTATCTGGAGGTAACCTCATCCTAAGTTGAAGGATGTCTGTAGAACAAATTCACTCCAGCCACCCACAAAGCCCTCCCTGTAACAGCCGTCTGCAGACAGCAGGGCATTTTACAAGTGTCCCAGTGGCCTGCCAATTGCCTCCATACTTGCACAGTTTCTGGGTACAATCACACAGCTCTCCTGCTACAAACAAGCCTCCATGCTGAAGGTGGGGTGCCGGGCAACAAGCATGGTCTTCCATGTTAATGGGTCCTTGAGCGCCTCAACTCACTACTATTTCATGCTACGTGGAGCCTTCTTCACTTTCCCGTCCCTGTCCCATCCTATGGGGAGGAGTGTGAAGTCCTGAGGTGATACGGCTGCCAAGACTGTGCTTTGTGTTTTAGACGGTGCCTCACTTCCAGTTAGGAGCACAGAAGCTGGAAAGACCCCTGGGTACCAAGGTCACATGAGAATAACTGGTGGAGTCTCACTGCAAAACAGGCCATCATCTTTCCCTTACTACGCATGTCCTTCAGACTTTGGCCCTGGATGCTGGGACTTTCCACACCTGTTTTGGTTATTCCAGTTTCTCCATGCACTCCACAGCTGTCACACTTGTGAGCAGTAGACCCCCACCACTGCTGCTGTGGTGCAGGCCTGGCTGAAGCAGCCCAGTTCCCCATCCCCAGAAGCCTGCTGGAAACTGCTGGGGCCTCAAAGCTGAGTATCAGAGCTGTGGGGGCTTCTGGTTCCTGCCCACCAACCAGGCCGAGGCCTACCCCAGAGCTGGCAGATGCAGCGGTGTGCGCAGCACCAGAGCAGCATCAACCCTGTGTTTTTCTAGGCATTCAGAAATCAGTCCTCTGTGTCCACACAGCTTTCCTTTACATCCCAGAAACAGTGTTGTTATGATCTGTGTCTAGATGTCTCCCCAAAACCTCATGCAGTCATAGGTGAGGCTTTTTCAGAGGTGGTTGTATTTAGAGTGTGGCGCTTGTACTGATTCATGGTACAGTGCTAGGATCAAAGGCACTAGAAGTAAGGATGTGCATGTTACACACCCTAAGTAGCTTGGATAAGATACAAGGGCTGGAAAGAGCTGTGGTCATCCCTTGTTGCTCCTGCCCATCCTGAACTGTTTTTCCTCTCTAATACCACCCTGCCTTGGAGTCAGCCTATTATGGACTAAAACCTCTACAAACTGTGAGCTAAATAAACGTTTCCCCTTTTAACTTTGGGGGCTGGGAATTTTGTTGCAGCAATGCGAGAAAAGTAACTAAGACAAGTGTGCACAGACACTAGCTTGAATATCCATGCTTTATAGTTGGAGAAAAGCCAGCGAATCTTAGAAGTCAGTCAGCAGTTTGAAAACGCCAGGGGCTCATGGCCCGAAAGACTCCTTTTCCCACAGCCATATGGGGGCTTCACGGGTGATCACTTGTCAAATATATCCTGTAGTACTTCATGCGAAACTTTGGACGAGAGACTTCACCTCTCTGTACCTCAGTTTCCTAACTGCAAAACAGGGGCAATAAATGGCACTTGCCTCACAGGCTCACTGTGATGACTGAGGGAACTTGTGTGCGTGAATTTCTTCCAAGGCTGCTGGGGCAGGGGAGACTCAGCTGCATGATCAGTGTTGCTGTTATCATCATGGAGGCTACCAACTAGGTGCTTGCCTCATATGCGATAAGCAAATGAGTAAGTCAACTCCCTTTCCACCCAATAACCTGGCACATGCACTGGGTTTTTCCTGAAGAAAGGGCAAAGTGGGCTCCACCCCCACCTGTGAGCACATAAAGACTTAAGGGAGGCCTCGCCAGGGACTCAGGTGAATCCCTTTCACAAGCAAGTCACAGCTGAGCAAGCCGACAAAACAATTGCTACCCAAATCGAAGAAACACCACTGCCCACCCCACACTTACTTCCAGGACTGTCCATTGTTCGACAACAATAGCATCATAGCCCTGCACGGTTTTGCTATCTTCTGTGGAAACAGCTTCAAAGATGAATACTCCATCTGTCAAGCCATGTAAGGAATCTGTGGAGGGGGGAAAAAAGCGAAAAGGGAGGCTGTGTTAGCCGTCTGTGGCAGAAGCCATATAAGCAGCAGAAATTTTCACTGCATTCATTAATAATCCCAATCAGAACATCTTTTCAGCATGTTAATTAAGGAAGCACACACAGCCATAGAGTCTAGCCCCATCAGAATGAATGAGACTAATTTACCTCGCAGTTTTGAATAATATCCTTGATTTTATGAGCCCAAATTTCATTGTTAGCAATCACCATTTGATTTCATGCATTTACCTTCCTTTTCACGCTCCGTCAGGATGCACCGGGGAGAGCTTATCCAGGGTGAAACACAGCCACTTAGAGACAGTTTTAGAACAAAACTATATTTAGGTGAGAGGGATTTTTTTTTGAGGAAGGGCAGATACAACACACCAGATCTGAGCTTGTCAGGTGCAGACGCGCCGAGTCTTGGAGGTTCGCGTGATGTGGCTGCTATACAGACGGTATTTCAGGCAGCTCTTGTCGAGGGTTGGAATTCGGGGGTGGGGGAGTTTTCCCAAATGGTTTACCACTGAGACTGTTTCCTTAGGCACTGCTCTCATCAACATGTCAGGTTCTGAGTTCTATCCACCTCAACAACTGTATATTAAATGTATAGCATGATTCAAGAATTGTCTAGGCAACGAGGGTATAAAGAAAAATAGAACAGATCTTGCCTCTGTGAAGATGTGGAGGCACCTTCTGCCCACCTCCTTTTTTTAGGGAAAAGGCCTGCTGTAGAAGCCAGTGGCCTGAATCTAGGTTCTTTCATGAAAAGTGCTGTGACCCTTTCAGGGGCTGGGCCTCAAATCTGTGAAATGGAACTGTGAGCAGATAACCCTTTCCAGGGATTCTAGTCTATCAGCATGTCTCGTTGATACTGTTATGGACTGAACTGTGCCCTCCCAAATCCTTATGATGAGGCCGCAGCCCTCAATGTAAGTGCATCTGAAGACAGTCTTTAGTAAGGTAAAGTTAAATGAGACCATCAGGGTGGTGCCCCTGTAGGACTAGGAGAAGACACCAGAGACCTCTCCTGCCCCACCCCAGCCTCCAGGGTGTGCAGAGGCAAAGCCATGTGAGGACACAGTAAGGTGGCAGATGTCTTGAAACCAGGAAGAGGGCTTTAAGCAGAAACCAAATTTCCCAGTACTTAGATTATGCCCTAGAAATGGAGAAAGTAAGTATCATTTATTGGATAAGCCACCTAATCTGTGGCCCTAGTAGACTAAAATGCATACAAAGCCCGTTGAATGATTTGCTACTTTAAAAGGACAATTTTAACAGGACAAATACATAATAATGTGATACACACACACACACACACAGGCAAGGAAGACTAATTTAGGAAGTTCACTGAATCACACCAGAGTCCCTAGAACTGCCAGTATTCTTCAGAAATCATACGGAAAAAGACTGACCAATATGAATACATAACAATCTGTAGCTATGTAACAAAATTCAAAGCTCCTCAACATGGCAAAATTATCTGCAACAAAAAACTTGATATTCTTTACATATAAGAAGTTTTTTTATAAATTGATAGCTAAAAATATGAACATACCATTAGAAATGGGTAAAGAATATGAACTAGCAATTAATTCTCTTTCCATGACCAGTACGTATTGAAAAAAAAAAGTTTCAATCTCTTTTGTTATCAGATTGGCAAATGCTGAAAATAAAATACTGCTGGGAGAGGTATGAGGATAAGGGAAATTTTACAGTGCTTATGGGAATTTTAATTGCGCAATCTTTCAGAGAGCAATTTCATAATGCCTGAAATGCCTGGAAACAAAAAGTCTATCCTTTTTGACTGTTTGTTCTAAGGCAATAACCACCAATGCCTTCAAATATTTATAGCCCAGCACTGTCTATAAACTTACTCAAAAACTTAATCTAAACGTTTAACAATCCAAATTTTCAACCATAGAAAAACAGTTAAATTAGAGTTCCATACAATTAAATAGCGTACTGTCCAAGCACCTGCCCGGCAAGAGCAAGGTCCTGACTTCAATTGCTAGTATCAGTCAATCAATCAATAGTGTACTGGCCATAAAAACGTCATGGGAATATAATGACTCGGGGGAATGCTTTAGATATAATATTACAGAGAAAAAAATCAGGATATAAAACTGCCCTACTGGCAACATGTGAATTTTTATGTTAAAAATGTTTACAGAAATTGAAGGGGGTATACAAAACTCCAGGAGGACTTCTGAGTGGTAGGACTGAGTCTAATTTGAATTTTCTTTTTTTTTCTCTTCTTCAAGATTAATCTAAGAGTTAATGTAGTGTAACACAGGCAAACGCACAACACAGAAGAATTTTCTTTTTCTCTATCCTACATGGTTCTGGAAAGCAGAACTAGATTCAAAGAGTTTCCAAAACTAGGGGAAACACAATCTAGATGGAAAGAACCTTCCTTAGAATAGTCTAGGAATGGGAGACCGCGCCTCAGAAGGGTGAGCAATGTGTTCCTGGAAGCACTCAAGCTCACCCTGAATGACCTTCTGGCCACACATTCTTTCATCCCAACATTTGCTGGCCACTGGAGACCTCACAGGCGGCAAGATTAAGTCCCTGCCACTATGGAGTTTCCCTGGCAGTAGAGGAGGAGACAATAACACAGTGTCAGAGGTGACAACTGCTATAGCAACAGGAAGCAGGCTAAGGGGAGTGGAGGTGGTGGTGGTGGCTATTTTTGGAAAAGGTACTCAGGTTAGGGATCCCGATTTTGAGTAGATACATGAATGGCCTAAGCAAGCAAAGGGAGTCTGCAGGGTTTGAGAGCTCCAGGAAAAAGGGGACGGCCTGAAAATACACGCAGATTTTGTGAAGGGCAGACAAGGACCCGATGAACAGCAGAACCAAGAGGAGGAAGCTGAGACTGAAATGACGGATGGGGAAAACAGTGGGAGGGGCTTGTCCACATGGGTGTTCCAGCAGCAGAGATGCAGACAAAAGCTCACGTGAGGTTCACCTGGACCTCCTATGTCTCTGCCACCACTATGAGAAGGTAGGCCCCAGCTAGACCCCCTGGCTCCATAACTATAAAAAACATGGAGCGGAACTGCCCCAGCGCAGCCCAGCATGGATCAGCTGACCCACAGATCTGTGAGTGAGCCCAGCCGAAACAGCAGGGCTGCTCCAGTCAATTAGAAAATCTGAAGGGAAAATCACTGCTCTTGTAAGCCAATGGCTCCTAGAATGGTTTGTTACACAGCATTATCCTGGCAACAGCTGCCTATATAAAACCTATCCTAGATATAAGAAACATGAGGCTAATATATTCTGCTTGGCCTGGGTAGTTTTTTATTACTCCAGAATGATAAAAGCCAACAAACCATGGCTATGAAGGCAACCGCTGAAGCATAGCAACCTTATCCTGCCTGTCCTAAACCAGTAAGATAACATTCCATTTCCTGTAAGATCCCGGGGGCATGCTTTAGTTTCTTACTAGTTTCCTGTTCTGAGAGTTTGTTATCAGACAGCCTTGGGAGTGTTAAGCTTGCCCTTCTCATCTGCTTTGCTGAAAAGTTTCACCCGGTGCTTTTCACCGGCCACTTAGGGATATTTTACATAGGTGACCAGGGAGAAAGACCTGCTTTTGAGTTGAAGCGCATCACAAATATCCTGGACAAGCCTGGACCACAGTCCAGTACAATTTTAGAGTTCTGAATAACCCCTCCAGGGTGCAGCTGGGGAGCCATAAGAAACTCTTCTGAATAAAGCTTCCTCAGTTTTGACCTAAAGATCAGAAGACACTCAGCAACCCTTTCAGGACTACAGATATAGCACATTTTTCCTCAAGGCCTCTACAGAAATATGTTGTAGTTGGTCCTCTGTATTTATAAGGTGCACATCTGTGGATTCAACCAACTGCAGATCAGTTTTTTACAAGTCTATACTGAACATCTACAGACTTTCTCCCCTTGTCCCTAAACAACACAATATAGCAAATATTTACAGAGCATTTATATCATATCAGGCATTGTAAGTAATCCAGAGATGATCTAAAGTATGCAGAAAGATGCAGGTACTTATATTCCATTTTATGGAAGGTCCTGCAGCATGCACAGATTTTGGCATCTAACGGGAGGTCCCCTGTGGATACCAAGGGATGACAGTATACCTAATTTCCAAAACTTCTACCTATGCATCTCCTCAGTGGAAACCTCCAGCCATGCCCACCCTGTGCTTAAAGTACTGAAGTGCCCAAGTGAATGTAAAGGATGATGGTCTTTAGCCTGCCAACAGCACCACCCAGCAGAGCTGCATTCAGGAGAGGGAAGGGACTCTTGGAGCCTGTTTAGACTTCCCCTCCTTCCTTCCAAGTTACAGGCTAGGAAGGGTGGTGTGGCCAGGGAGGAGGTATGGCCAGGGTTGGGGTAATAAAGAGGAGCACACTGCTCTTCTCACCGCGCACCTCTTCCCCTGCCTGCCTCCCTGCCCTTGCCCTGGTGCTCTGCCTCCTGAATCCTCAGTGCTGATCCACCTACTTAACTATGAAGTAAGTTCAGGGTGGCTGTCAAAATTTGGTCATCTGTAACAACAACAACAAAAATTCAATGAACCACAAACAGAGGACAGGTGAGCTTTTAAAGAGCCCCTTGTTTTGATGGCCTCATCCCCTCCCCATCTCCTTGTTACCTTCACGGCTCTGCCTCACTGAAATGTGCCATGAGTTGGGTATAAATAGGTCTCTCTCAGAGCAAAGGCTCCCAAAGTAAAAAGGTTAAACCGCCCTCCATCTATAGAAAACATTCCATTATCACTGCATTTTTTATTAAAGTAAAGATGCTTCCCTACTGTGCACAGAAAGCTATTTGCTGTGGTATTATATAAATATTTGATGTCGGGCTTTGGGCAAAAGGCCACCTTAACATTCCCAGCTTATGATTTACAAGAAGGATGTGGGAAAAGGAGATTTGCCATATTATCTCAAGAGGTAACTGCTATGAGGCAACCATTCTTCTCCGCAGTCATCTTGACTGTCAATCAGATTCACCTTCAGGCTTAGCCCTTGAGTGTGTTCTTCAAGTCTAGCCTAGAATGCATACACCAGGACAAGCGATCAGTGCATTTGGGCTCTTTCTATGAGATTAAAAACAAAGTGAGCATCTACTTTTATCAAGGTAGGACTCAGTTGGACTCAGTAGGACTAAACTGTCCACCCTGGGCAGCAGGCATCACAGGTTTCCTTGGGCCCCTGCTCTCCAGTGGAAGCTCCACAATGTTCTCAGAACTTTCTCGTTCCAGGAATGGTGCTGGCCAACATGTGATGTAAATGCAATGTGGTCAACCCAATGTGCAATTCACGGTGAACAAAATCGCTATTGAACCCGTTCCCCAGAAACTGGTCTCGTGCTGCTTCCTGGTCAAGCTAGAGCTAATTTCCTCCAGTAACCAGAGAACGAGCAAGTTGCTTTCTCTTACCTCTCAGGCTCTCACTGATGCTCCAGACTTGCCTGCCTTCCTACAGTTTCATCTTGAAAGGTTAAGTGACCTTGAAAAGATACTACTTTTCCTCAGTGAGAGCAGGGATTAATTAGCCTGTAAGTTTCAGTGCCATTAACCACACAGAAAAGAAACACAATGATTCAGTGTTGGCTAAATGTGAGGCCTCTGCCTGGCATGGTTCACAGTCTCTCAGGGAAATCCTTCCCAAAACTCTGCCAGAGTTATCATTGCCTATTAGCTGATGAGACAGTTGAAGCTACGAAAGTTAAATAATCTGTCCATGTTCAAATGGAATGAGAGAGCCAAACTAGGTCTGATATGTCCTTTGTTTGATTCTAAAGCTTGCATTCTTTGAACAATGAAGAAACATTTATTGAGCTACAACTATGATCATCCATATGCTGTGTGCATGGCTGGGGTAGGAATGGTACCCTTGGAGCACTGTCTGCCACACACACTGTCTGCCTCAGTGTTTAGGGCATTAGGCAATGGGATGTCAAGAAGTATACACTGGGGTTTGCAAGTATGTGCATAAAATATATATTCCTACTTATATATATTCCATTTGGAAGATGCACGTATTCTTACATTTGTAGTTTCCAAGTGTATGCAGGATATACTATGTGAGGCAAATACCCAATGCTACATGGACTTAGATGCAGCTGAAGCATCAGGGAGAGTTTCAAGGACAACTTAATATTTTAAAAAAGGTAGGCAAGGAGAGCCATCTGGGCACCCCTTTGTGATACAATATGCAGAGGACATCCCCTGGAATGTATTTTAATCAGAAATTTTCATTTATCAAGTCTAGGGCCGGGGATATAGCTCCATGGCACAGTGCCTTCTTGGCAAGCGTGAGGTCCTGAGTTCAATCTCCGGTACCAGAAAAAGAAATTCTTATCAAGTCTATATAACTAAGTTCTTGTTTATAGGAAATAGTGGCCAGAAAAACAAAAGACACCACCAGGTACTGACCAGATGAATCCATAATTCAGGATGTTCCGCAGGATCCTTTTCAAGCCGTCAGGGGCAGAAGGAAGGACTCTTGCAGTTAAAAAGAAAAGTGGGGGTAGGATCACCATGCACAAAAGGAGAGTGAGGGCGGCTCACTGTGTACGGTGTGTATTGCTGGAGTGGATTCAGGTTTGCACAATCAGTGGCAAAGGGCATTTTTTGAAACAAAGAGAGGAAGACCTGCCAGGGAAGGAGAGGGCAAGGACAGGACAGGGGCTGGAAGAGGGCAGGGCAAATGGAGGTCAGGGAGGGTCAGGGAGAAGGCCAGGGCAGGGCCGGGGGAATACACCGTGAGATCAGAGCGAGAGGGGAATACAAAGGTGAGGGTATGTGCAGAAGAAAGAATGTCGGGCAGGTGGAGAAACAAGGCGACAAAAGCAAGGTGAAGCAGGCCATGAGGAGATGGTGGTGGCAGCCACAATACTGGTGGCCAGTGATGGCAGCAGGGATCTGGCAGGCCCAGAGCCCTTGCAGAGAGACCAGCCTCCGAGCTGGGTCTGCAGATGGTGGCACCTGGCTCCCACTCCTCAACTGCCAGCTGGGCGCAAGCTCCCACTCCTCCACCCTCTGGGGACAGGTTCCAGCCTTTGTCCTCTTGCCTGCAGCATTCCCGAATGCCTCTTTGGCTCTGCTTTGGGGCCCCTGAGCTCATTCTGCTGTTCCCTTGAGTGACCTTGGAGCCCTCCTCTCTACCTGGAGACCCTGTGAGGACCTGTCACCCTCAGCGCGCTTGTCTGCTGCACCTTGAGCCTGCCGGGCTGCGGGCAGGACTGCACCAGGCCAAGACACCTGCCCATCAGCCACTGATCTGGGGGAAGGAGCCCTGGGCACCAGGAATGGGAGCCCAAATCTGGTGTTATGGGGACTGGAGGAGTCTCTCCATGCCCAAAGAGCGAAAACACAAGCTGAAGTCTTAACTGCGTAATTCGGGCTCCAGCATCACCTTGTTCAAGGAACAAAGTTCTTGTGAGTTTTATGATTCTGTGGGCACTGTTCTGGAGTACAACTATCCACTGAAGAGTCATGACTGGTGCTTTTCCAGATGGCAAACAGCTTACAGGTGCTTCTACCTCAGCCAGGTTTATTAGTAAAGACACTAATTATTTCATTAGATATGGGTTCCTTTCATGATTATGATTAGCTTCCCCTTTTTAAAAAATTTTCTGGGAAAATAGCATACTTTTATTTCTTTCCTGGTCAGTGGAAGACCTGAGCTTTTTCAGAGCAGGAACACCCTAAGGCTCACTAACTACTGCATTTCACATGCTCCTGCCAGCACAAACATGGGGCAAACTGTGTTTCAAGGGAGAGCGCGTTTCAGTGAGTTGGGTTCTGAGACTTTCATGCCCACCCTCCTCAGACAGAGCCACATGGCTGCGGTGCAGTGCTAGACACGGCTGCAGGGAGGAAGCCGCGACAGGCTTGGTGGAGGACTTCACAGTTACACTTGCCAGGGGACATTTCACGTTGTCTTCAAGACGGGAAGGCTGGATTTAAAGCCACTTAAAGCCAAGGAAGGCTGTGACAGCACTTCAAGCATTCAAGGCAAATCTGAAGGTAAAAAACCACATAATTTCTCTGGGCTTTTGGATGCAAGGTTGGAAAGTAGAGTGAGGAGAGAAAGCAAAGAAGTTAACTCAGCCTAGATCACCCAAACCACAAGGGTAGGAGGAAAATCAATGGCTTTGTGAACTTTCAAGGTGTTCTCTCTTGGGGCTCAGCTTGCCCGACATGCTCAAGTAGTAGGGTCAGAGAAAACCTCCCTTCAGATGCCCCAGTTCTCCTAAGAGGAAAAAAAGTTAACAGTAGCAGCCTGTGTAGCTACTACCTCCAGCACCTCCCTGCATGTCTTCAGGGTGTTAGTATTAGCCATCAGTTTCCGGTGGAGAAGTGTAAAGCTATGTGCAGCCACACGGGCATCCACGGAGACCAGAGAAGATAAAAAAGCTGCTATGGCCCCAGCCTAGGATGCACAGTGGGGTGTACTTGCAGGAAGAAAGTGCTCCTTTCCAGCACTTCCTAAGGCCCGCGAATCAAGCCACAAACACTTGCCTCAAGCACGTACTGCCCTGGGCTTTATGTCACATCTCCAAGCGGACCATGACAACCCTTGGTTTCATGGCCCCCTGTAGCCACCATGGATGGCTTCCTCATGTACAGAGAGGTTACTGACTTTGCAACCAGGGAACAGAAGTGACTCTTCCTTATTTGTGTTGATAAAATATGCACCTTAGAATGGCATAATCTAAGGCACTAGCCACATTCAGTTATTTAAACTAAATAAATTTAAAAATAAATTGTGCTCAGTACCCACAAATAGTTGGTAGCTATCAAACTGGAAAGCATCATATAAAACATTCCATCATCACACAAAGTTCTATTGGACGGTGCTGCTCTAAATGTATTCTTAATGAGGTAACTGCCTTCCTTATATCATTCATCCATTCAACGAACGATTACAGCCCACCAATCCTATGATGCCTTCTGCTACTATAGTAACATATTGATATTAGACACTGATATTTAGATACTAACAAGTGACTTGCATATAAAATTAGGACCTATCTGTGCTGTGTCATCTTCCAAGGCTTTGGATGATTCAAAGACTGTACATTTAGAATTAACTAAAGATCCAGAATTGTAAGCAATACAGAATCCATTTCTACCTCTGCTGGTTCTTCAGAGAAAAAAATGTGACAAGACACAGTACCGTTGGGGCTCACAAATTTGGTGTTGCCAGGTTTTGTTGGGGTTAATGGATTTGGTGTTGCATGTCACTTGTGACTGGCAGCCCTCAGGACCTGCACATGCGGGAATGTTGGTCCCACTCCCCAAATTGCCACCGAGCTTTGACACACCATGAAGATGACTCAATTTGCCTTCACATTAGCTCAAAACCTTTTCTTTGCTTGATACTTTTCTACTGTGGGCAGACTTTCTTACTGCCTTGACAACTGATAGCACTAATGCTCCTTTATACAACAGCCCCCTCAGAAATAACCCATTCCTCGGGAGAACCAGGTGCCATGAGACCTAGAAACACACTGTGTCCCAGTGGGGCTTACAGAAACCAGGCAGTGCAATTTGTTTCTCTACTGCCAATTCCAAGGTGCTGCTACTGCTACTTCAAACTGTAATAGTGTCTACAAACAATTTGCACTTTCAGAGTGACACAATTCCAGGGGGTAATTAACAATCCCAGGGAATCATCTTTACAAAAGCTTTTAAAAGCAGTGGGATGGAGGCCACCGTTGATGAGAGAGAATCACTGCCCTTTTGCTGGCATTTCAGAAGGCACCTGGCTGACCCCTGGAGAGGTCTGGAGAGCACAGGTCCTTGGCTTTATGGAAATTGCTCAAGATGCATTAATTATAAATCAAATGTCACGTGTTTACTGCCTGCACAGCTTTCTGAATGCAGCACGCTCTGAAGAAGGGCTAAGACCACAAGTTATCAGGACAGTTAGTGAGAGCCACAAAGGCCAGCTTCCATACCATGTGCCATTCCCAGGTGGAAGACTGCATTCACCAGCATTCCTCCTTTCCGGAAGTGGTCACTCATGTGCTCCAACCAGTTGGCATCCAGACTGCTCACTGTCTGACCATTCCTGGAGATGCGGAGAGGAATGGTGACAGGGTAGTACTGCCGGCACTTCTGATGGTTCTTCGGTTTGTTGAAGAGTGCGAAGATCTCCATTTCTGTGGGGATTTGTAAAGAGGGGTTAGTGGGTGAGATGGTGATAAAAATCTGCCTCAGTGGCTTTAGTGAAATGTCTTTGGAGCCTGAAGAAATGATACCAGAAGTTTTTTTTTTTCTTTTTGAGACAGGGTCTCACTATACAATTCAGGCTGGCCTTGCGCTCACTTTGTAGCCTGGGTTGGTCTCGAACTTGCAACAATTCCCCTGCGTCAGCCTCCTGAGTGCTGGGATTACACATATGCGCCACCACGCCCAGCTTTATTGCAAAAGTTAAACCGAGGCTGAGGTGTTGCTAAATAAAACCCCACTCCAAGTAGTAAGATGAGGCTGCCTTCAAGTGGACAGGGGCCTCAGCTGGGGAATGCTGGTTTTAAACTTGGAATATATGAGCAACTGTTATCTGGGATTGATTTGCATAGTTAGGCATTTGGGAGGACACAGCAGACATTTCTAAAAGTGCATACAAAGAAGTGTTCGGGAAGTAAAAGCAGACATATCTGGGTGAGAGCTGGTCTTCAAAAAAACATAAAAAAGGTAAATGTTCTAGGCACATGAAAACAAAAATACTGTTCTAATTCCAGGAACCTTGTACAGCCCTGGACTCACTATTTATAAACTGCAGCGGTGCTTCCTGGGGCCAAACCCATAATATTTAATCACGTACATCAAAAATACATCATTGATATGTAAAAATAAATATGTTCCCGTCAATGAGGGTTCCTGCCTGGAGTGGCAGGTCTGCTCAATCAACCAAGCAGACACCAGGAGTGAGGCTCCCAGCTTCCCATGCCTTCATTTATAGCTCAGTTTTCCAGAAACCAATAATCACTACCACCCAGGAGTAGATCTGTGCCTGCCCGACGTGCTGCTGGGCATGAGTTTGCAGAAGCCGCCTCCAGGAGCAAATACCTGGAATTTCACTCTAAGTCTTAAGGTCTATTGTTGTGATACTCATGTAGTCAAGCAATCATGATGGACCCACCTTAAAAAGCTTTGCTTACACAGGCTGGTCAGAAATATGCTTTGGTTTCCAGAAATATCTTTTGGAATCACAAGAAAATCCCCACCCTTCTCTCAAAGAAAAAAATTTAAAGGTCATACACAATAGTTGACATTAGTAATAAGGACAAAGCATATTCATGCTCCATGTATGAGATATCTAGAGTCACATTCTGGAACACTGTTTCCCAAATTTCAGTATTTCACAATTTTTGTGGTATTCAAACACTCGCTAAATTATTATTTGTTTAAATGATTCCCTTTCATTATTTAAAGAAATATATTTTAAAAGAAAACTTTGCTTTATGATCATAAAGGCAAATTATTACCACTTGCTATAAACAGGGAGGAATGAAGAGGCACATTAACACCAAATATGTCACCATTCCCACCCCAAATTTCCTTTCTCAGTCTTCTTGGCTGACTCAAATGCCATCCCTACCCAGGAAATGCTTTCACATAAGAAATAAGGGCCTAGTATACGGAACCAGCAACCACTACAGTATTTCTTAACTTTGAAATACGAATTCTAGGAATGGAGTGATACAGAGGAAAGTTTATAATGGAGGGAATCAAGTCACAGACAAGCTGGGGGTGGGCAGGAGGTGAACTGGACTATCAGGTGTTTTCCAGTCCTAGGTGCCAGAGATTTAAATAAAAGTTGCAAATACTAAAGCCAAGAGGACAAGCCATGCTTTAGTGAGTCTTTTGTTTCATTTGCATTTCTCCTAAAGTGGACCCTCCAAGCCTTCCATGTGGAAGCCATTTTTCCGGAAGTGATCCTACTGAACAGAGGGAGGGACGTGAGCTAGGAGGGAGGGAGGGCCAAGTGGCAAGTGGCACTCAATCCCACCCAGACCGAGAGATCCTGCGTGTAACACTTCGAAGATGGGCTCACCAAGGGCAAAGGAGCTGGGGCATTTATCCTCAGAGTGAAGGTCACTCCCGAGGCGTTAATTCCCCAGGGCGTCTGCAGGCCCGCATGTTCCTATTCCCAGGGACGCTGGCAAGCTGAGAGACTAAGGAGACGGTGGGCTTGGCCAGAACATACCACAGGTGACCCTAAGGGGCACCAGGCCCTACGATCTGTTACAGTCAAGTACAAATGCAATAAAATTAAGAAGAAATCACAGCTGCCACCGGGAGAAGTGAGTGGAGAATCAGGAGCTGGCCAAAGTCCAACATACATAGTAACACTTGATCACACAGAAAGATCCCCCACTTGCATGGCAAGACAAAAAACCCAACTTTCTTCAATACGTAATGAAACAGAAAAAGGGGAAGGTCAAAAGGAGAAATGAGAATGCCAGGGTGGGCGGCGGAGACAGAAACTGTCAGATGAAGTAGACAGTGCTAACAGCGTCCCAGCTTTCCCATCCCGATCCTCCCCAGGGGACAGGACTGAAGCCAGAGACAGAAATAAATTTTTCAGGAAGGAAAAGGAAATGCTGTTGGAATGAGGAGCCTCCAAAGCATTAGTGGCAATGAAATATTGGGCGAGAGCTGCTCTCAGATGTGTAACCTTTCATAAACTCTTCTGTCCCACTGTCTCCTTGGCCATGGTCCTGTCTCTCTTCACATGGAAATGGGCCAAGAGAAACGATCCAAAATGATGCCCTTTGATGTTTTTATCTTCTGATTCTTCAACGCACAACCCCACGTGAGGAGGCACCACGAGTTCCAAAAAGCTGCCCAAAGTTTGTTTAAATTTTCTCAGCTGCTCTATGACTCTGCCATGACCCCAGCTGGAATATGTTTCCAGACATGGGACAGAAAGTCCCAAGGGAATGCGGAAGGCATTGTTCCTGAGAATGCTCTGGCAGAACACCCAACGAGCACCAGGCTGTCTCCTTGTCTCTCTCTTTCACCCTGCTGTGGGGCCTTGCCTCATCCCACTGAGATACCTCATATCCAGCGAAGTCCCCCTATCCAAAGTAGGAGCTACATGTGTTTGCTGACCAACTTGAAGCAGTCAAGTAGAGGAAGGGAAGGGATGATTAGGGGGTGTGGCACCCACAGCTGGAGGCTGGTGGGCACAGCCCGTGGGACGGCCCCTTTGCTTGGGCTTTGCCCAAGGGAAGTGGGGAGCAGAGGCAACTGTCCAGTTCTAAGGCCTGAGGCCCAGCATAGAAGTCTGCATTCTAGGCTCTACAGAGCGATGGCTTGACGGGGAGCCATGGGGCTGGTCAGGGCCCCCTGTCTGGAGAGAGGAACAGAGCTCAGAGTTCAACTTAAAGTGTAGGTCTCCAAAGGCCAGACTTAGGCAGAGGAGGAGGCGGGAGAGTTAAAGCATTGGAAAGAAGAGCTGGGAGTTGCATGTGGCTGGGTAACCTGAGCTGGGGTGGCTGGGGAGGGTGCAGAGCATGGAGATCACGGACGGGGGAACAAAGGCAGAAGATTGCCCTGCGAAGGCATGGTTGTCGGGGCTGTGGTAGAGAGGGCAGCTGTCCTGAAGCTGTTCCATCCAGATTTCTGGATATCCAGAAGGCTGTCTAAGGCTTCTGTTAGCTTGGGTGCTCACTGGGCCAGAGTAAGGCCACCTGCCAGGGCAGAGGGGAAGGCAGAGCGTAGCAGCCTCTGTGCACACAGGATCCCCAGGAACCTACCTGTGAGGACCAGCGCAGACCAGACCCACGTACAATGCTGACAAGGGCCACGACCTTCATCATGTCATGAGTCCCCCAACATTCACAGAAGGGGGTGGCACCAGCACTAAGTGGATCGCCTGGAATCACGGCTGGTGAGTGGCAGAGCCAAGAGTCTTTCAATCCACAAAGGCTAGGCTTGTTCCCAAACCCCAAATCAGGACACAGAAAGCAGGTGTTGGTGGCCACGGGTGGGGGCTCAAAGCCCGATTGTTTGCAGATTGAGGGAAAGGCCAGAGAGGGTAGCAGCTGGCAGATCTGGGAGGGACCATGGGGAGAAGACGCAGAAGGAGGCCCAAGGCCCCACATTAGATGCTCACACTGAGCTGGCTGCCAAGGAGGGCCACTGAAGAAAACCTCTTCAGCAGAAATGCAACTGAGCCCACTGGCTCCAGCTTCCGGCTGACATCTCTAAGCGGGGAAGAAGGACAGCACTGGGAAGGTGTCTTAAAACGATTATTGAAATTTTAGCATTTGTGTGAACCTATCTGGCCTCTGTGCCTCTGTCTGACAAGAGCCCAGGTGATCACTGCACAGCACAGACCTCAAACCAGCAGGAAATTCCCCCAGACCAAGAAATAAAGTCAGTGAGCAAGAAAAGAAACCTAGGAGGGCGTGGCCCAAGCTGCAGGGGCGGGGAGGGCTGCCTGTCCCCGCTTCCGGTGGAGACGCTGGGAAGATCCCCTCAGAGCAGCCCTGCTTGGATTTTCTCCCCAAGGCCTCCTAGCTAGGAAACTAACCAAGGAGAGAAGAAGGAAGACTCCCTCTGGATTTTAAAAAATTGTCTTGCTGTGGATACCTATTGACGCTCACCTGGCAGAAAGAACAGTAAGAAACACTTCATCTTTCTTAGGGGGCCCTGGGAGAAAGGGAAGGTGGGAGAGGTGTCGTGCGTGTGTGTTGAGGGGTGATGGTGTGCAGACTTCCCAGCGCAGGAAACAACAAAACTTCCCAGGGAAAAGATTAGGAGACAAACTGGGGGTCAAGTGAAGGCCATGACCAATGGGAACAGGGCCCCTGGACATCCGGTTTTGAGGGAGGCCCAGTGTTCAGGCTGTGACAAAAAGAAGTGAACTGCACGAGGGCATGGAGGAGACGCCCCTCCTGGCACCACAGCAGCATCTGAGGCACACCCAACGAGCAGTCGGACGGAACAGGGCTCTCAGGTGACCACCCTCATGACTGCTCTCTGCCCATCCCAGTGGGCCCACATGCTAACCGGTAACCCCAGCATGTTTATCATCCAATGGGAAGTCTGAAGTCACTGATTCTAGCAAGAAAGGAAAAAGCGAGCAGCCTCAGCTCGGAACACTGGAACTTGGGTGGGCAGTTGTGCCTGTAGAGTGGGTCACTGCCTACCTAGGGAGACGGGGCTTGGGAAGGCTACAGACATCCACCTCCTGGCCAGGCCAACACTGCTGCTCACTGTAGAGTTGACACCTCCATCAACACACATTAACCCGTGATTCCCCGGCAGGACCTAGGTCTCTAGTAGAGAACAGGGTCTTAAGATGGGATATAAGCCAGGACACTGGGTGCTGAGGGGTTTCCACGCACTGAACCCCGAAGGAGTCTCTGAGTGAGGAAGACAAGTAGTCACAGGGGACCAAGGAATTCTGAGAGCGGGTCTCCCAGTGAGTAATTCTCCTTAGAGAGAGAAGGCAGGAAGTCTAGAAGAAGTCTTGAAGAAAGGTGGATTCTGCAATATACGAGTTTCCGCACCCTCCCAAGCAAGTCTCAGTATTCTGTCTCAAAGCCAGGCTTCCATGACAGGTGGAGAACAAGAACCAAGAGCTCAGAATCAGTGCCCAAAAACAGCAGGTCACACTGGCGACTGAATCGAGCTCCACACTTTCAAAGTCCCTTTCACTGAACCTTCCCAGGGGAAGCTACTCCTTGTCAGATGGAAGTGTCTCATTCAAGACTATTGCCTATTCAGAAGGTGGCTGGGACATACTGAGCCTGGATTCCTACCCACTGCGCTCCCTGCCTCCCCAGGTCCTGCCCCTTGCATCTGTGTCGGGCCTGATCCCCCACTCCTTGAGCAGTCCTGGACTGTGGAGAAGCGCTCCTCAAAGGCTCATCCTCCTCCTCAAGATTCAGTGCATATATCCATCCTGCCCGTGGGAAGACAGGACTCCTGAATGAAGACCTGGTCCTTCAGGGGACGGGTGTCTGGTCTAAACATACTCTCAGCTGCTCTGAGCAGGGGGCAGAGTCTACTTCATCCAAACCACACAAAGGAAGAGGTCTACTTCCATACATATTGAAAAAGGATCCAGACCTTGATGAAATGATAGCCCTAATGTATCCCAGGACTGAGGCAGCTCCAGTCTCTCCTTCTAAGCAACTTTGCAAATAACTCCCAGAATTTACCACCCTATAATTTTCTTCTCAAGAATTACTGATGGAACTAAATGATTTCATCTTGTTTTTGCCTCTCAAAGCACAAAATGTTCCTTATCATCTATCAGAGGACAGTTTGAAAGACTAGTAAATAAACAGTAACATTCATCAGGGATGTGATCAAGAATGACCTAGACCAAAGGTCTTCACGAGGCTTACAGGTCTCCTACTGTCAAGTCTTGATACTCGCCTACCTTCCACAGGCCAGAAGAGGCCTCATCACTAATGTAAGCACCTTGCTCTCAGAAAAAGACTGGATGCTAGATTTCCTGGAGAAAGTAGAGACAAGGCAACTCTGGGGAGGGGAATGAAGGTAAACTTGCTGTCAATCAAGGGCTTCGGGAAACCCTGCCAGTCTACTACACAGGAAAGATCAAGCTGAGAAGCACGGCAGGATGGTGGGCCAGCCTACTTGCCAGATCTGCCCCTTTTCAGCATGGCCAACACACTTTCTCTCTAAACTCAGATGACTCAACTGGAAAAGTGTGTGATAACAGAGCTCACTCACATCATAAGGCTATATGGAGAATTACAACAAGATCAGTCATTTAAAAAGCTTATTGGCACTGGGCCTAGTACTCAGGAAGTATTAATAAATGTTTGCTATTATTGTTGTGTTGTTATTTGAATTCCTCAGCTCAGTATGCATGCTCTAATGGCTGTTACAATGTGATTAACAGGAGCACATACTGGCGGCTTCTCCTTGGCAGTGTTCTCTGCTTGGTGCTGATCTGTCAACTGTTATGACCTCCCTGAGGTCAGAAACTGGTTGTTTACATCCTAGTGAGTTGAATCACAGTTTCCTGTGCAATTTTCCCTCAACTGGGTTCTCTGGTTTCTTGTTTTAGGCAGATATTCTAAAGAGTGGGGAGTTCAATGTCACGGGTGACCAGCCCACCAGTGCTCTCTGTACAAGGGCAGGGTATTCAAGGGCCAGGGCCCAAGGGCTAAAATAACTTGGGCTGAAATAGCTCAAGGTCTGGAATCCACTTCAAAAATAACATTTCAGAGCAATGCATGTCAATTTCTTGAGCCTCTCTCTTCCCAGAAGTCCTAACTATAGCACAGAAATAGTTGGGTAGCCCAGATAACGACTTGATAAAGTTTCTGTTATTTGAAGCACTGCTGTGTCTACACTCCAGTTCTATGTCTTTTTCCCTAAGATGCACTCAGGATTACTGAAAAGCTGTTATCCTCTTTTTAAGTGAGTCAAAACTCCCAGTGCTGACATACTTACTTCCCGAGCACGGTTCTTCATGTACATCCAACAGGTCACCATCCGGTGCTTTGAGGGTTGGGCTCACCTCCCTTGAGGAGGCTTCTCTACCCTCACTCTTTCCTGAGGGTGAGCTGGGTTGCTCAGTGAGAGAAACCTCCCCAGTGGGGTCTGGACTGGGCTCCAGGATTTGGTCCATCCCTGTGGAGGCAATGCTCACATCCACAGCCCCTGGGCCCTCGTTCTCCAACGATGTGTGATCCCCATGTGCATTTTTCACATCTCTTGTGTCTGTAGCACTGTTGGCAGGGGATGCCAGGGAGCTGCTGCCCACCAAGGTCACAGGGTAATGGTACTGAGGTATAACGCCGACAAACTTCAGGCCCCGACTAGCGGCCTCCTGGACCTGGGAGACAAACAACATAAGGGAACTGGTGAATGGGATGGTCTATCAAAGAGGTACATGCAGCATCCCAGCCCCTTACTGAGGCTCCCAAGTATATTTCAGCATGAACACAAAGAATGCCAGGCTGCAGAGGTGCCATGTCCTCAGGGCAGGGCCTGCTCTCTCACCCCAGCCAGACAGGACAGGCTCAATGGGTTTCACTACGTTGTCTGGGAGAAACATAAAGCCTGTGGCCACGAAGTGTTGGATCATGTCTCTTTGAAACACTGCATTCATCCCTACTAGTTACTTTTTTGTTTGTTTAAACAGGCTAGAGAAAGATTATAAAAGGAGAAGCACCAACAAATAGAGTTTGAAAGAGGAAGTTCATTATTTTGGCAACAGTTTATTTTTTTGTTATTTCTTTTTCTGATGAATTGCCTACTTCCTGCCCACCAGGCTACTACATAAAAACAGTATGTTTATAGAGATATATACATGAACTGCCAGATGGCATCTTATGACCCAAAGAGCTTCCCTTTTGAGACAATAGTTTTGGCAGAGTAGGTCAAAGGTAGGGAAAACCAAGCCTGCGTGAAAGCTCCCATCATGCTCCATGGCACACTCAGGCCTGGGGGGATCCCACCAAGGGGCCCACAGAGCACATCTTGCTGGCAGCCCTCGGAAGGCCTGTCTGGGGCTCTCAATACCCGGGTACCACCACCGGGCACAGGTAACAAGAAGCACTGCTTTCTCTTCTCCTGTGCCCATCACATGAGACCCTAATGCCCACAAGGAGTCACAGGACACTTAAACTCACCCTCCCCAAAACATAGCTCCAGGCCATTGCATTTAGTCCTCAAAACTTTGAAAGAAAAACTGAAAGAGCCTAATAAAATTAAGCAACAGCCAGACCCAACTATCAAGCTACAGCGGACTTTCCCAGCAAGGATGCTCAAGTCATAAAGATAAGGAGGTGGAGACCGCTAAGCTATCTAAGTCTTACTCACCAACCCCTAAATGGATGACCTTGGCAAACTACAAGGCTTCTGCAATAATCATCTACTGTCACCAAGAATCAGTAAGGTAGCTGGCCTGGAGCTACCTCTAAAGGAGAAGCAGTCTTGGCAGCCTTCCTTGGGTGAGCTGCCTTAATGCTAAGCACACTGAACATTCTAGAAAAACATTACAGCAGTTGCAAATGTACAGTCCAATCTTTCTGTAAAATCTACTTTTACTAAACATAGCAGTAACAATAGTACCAATCCCATCCAATGTACCCTTACTACACATGGGGCCCTGAACTAGGCATTTTACGTAAATTGTTTTGTTTGATCCTTGAAAAACCTTGTGAGGTAGTATTATCTCCATTTCTGAGGAGAACCCTGAGACCCAGGGATATTAAAGTCATGAAGTAACTATTGAGGAGCCAGATTCAAAGTCAGGGCCCGGCCCAATCCAAAATGAACTCAAGTCCAAGTGGATATACCTTGAGGTATCAAGTAGGAACACATCCACAGTCTAATATGTGTCCACTTATCTGTCCAGGGTTGGCTCCAATCAGCCTTAAAAGTTTAAAAAAAATAAAAGAAAGAAAACCTTTAAAGTCATCCTTTTCATTCTAGAAAGTCATCTTTCACTTATTAATCTGTGATTTGCCTATTTTAGAAATCGTTTTGGAAAATTTCTAAAGCAGACATAGGTAACAACAGTTTTAGGAGTAGGGAGATCATTATATCAAAGAACCTTAGGTTAAGGAAAACACTACCTACAAAGCATGGCTCAGAGCTTCCTGGAAACACGAGAAGGGCAATGGATTTTACAGCCCTCAAATGAAAGGCGGAAACAGCCTTGCACTGTCTCTTGGCCCTGCCGCCCACCCAAGGGAAACGGCTGTGACTCCTGAAGCATTTTAGACTCCTTCCACTGAGGGCCCAACCTCAGGCCAGTCTCATCCGGAGTCACAGCGATGGCACGGCTTTGAAGGTTTTCAGAAAGGGCCAAGAGCTCCAAAAGTGTTACTGGCAGGAGGAACCACAGTGGGTTACATCAGCTTTCTGCCCACAGTTCCCTCTTCTAAAAAACAGGGAGAATCCCACTTCCCTTATAGTTGCTCTGAAGATTAAACGTCATGTATGGTAACTGAAGGTCAGGGCACAAAGAAGGTACTGTGGCCATCCCATCACAATGGCACAGACCTCTCTCTGACAGTCTCTGGCTTCTGTGATTCTCACACTGGTGAGAGCCATCCACAGCGAGGGGGAAAGCTGTGGGCTCATGGTATTATCCTAGTCCTCTCCTTCCTCCCTGAGACTTGAAGAACCACAGAGGATTAAACATCACTCAGACTTCAACTTTCTCCCACCAAAAACTAGACAACTGTACTCTTTTGCCATAATGTATCCTGAATCCATCCTGTAGGCCAGGGGTTTTCAAAGTGTGGCCCCCAGACCAGCCACATCACTGTCCCCTGGGGAGCTTGCTAGCGGTGCAAGTTCTCAGATCTACAGAAGCAGCAACTCAGAGGGTAGAGCCCAGCCACCCTCGTTTCACAAGTCCTGCAGACGGCCCCGGGCAGCCTGGTGTTTGTGAGTCACGGCTGTGGGACACACATGTGTAAAGGCTCAGCCACTGCTATGGCCCTGTGATGGAATGACGTCTGCTGGATAGCAGTACTCAAGTATCTGTGGAATGAATGAACACGTAAATAATGAAGGAACACGTGTCTCTTCTAGAAATGAACTCCTTGAAGGTCAGAATGGTAAAACATTAATTTTTCTACCCCTAGAATTCAACAAACATCTACTAAGTCCCCATACTGGCCCAGACCAACACTATGCTTAGGTACTAAGGAGAAAATTAGAAGCCCCGCCCCTTAAGAAGACCCAACCAAGTACTACCTAAAAAAATAACTATACTGACAAGAAACAATCTGTTTACATTATTTACATTAAAAAATCAAGATTTTAAAATACAGTCTTAAAGAAACTTTTTATGCACATACACAACCCACAGAAAAACAGTCACCAAAATGGAAACAGCAGTGTTTTTTAAAAGTAGGGCTATGAGTGGTTTTTTTCTATTTGGGTGTAGTTTTTCAAAGTTTATTATTATTCGAATTGAAAAAAGTAAGTAGTTGAAGAATTTCTCATAGAGGATGATAAATGCAATAAGGGACATGAAGATATTCAATAAAGAAATGATTACTTCTGACAATAAAGAAATGATTACTTCTGTCTGAAGGAGTTGAGAAAAGTTTCTCAGAGAAGGTGAGGACTGTAGCAAATGAAATAAAGCAACACAATAGGAAGAGGTGAAGAGTGTGGCAGAACTGAAGTATGTATGTCTCACCTTAAAGCACTCAAAACCTTTCTTCACCCAAAATAGTGTCTATGTCAAAATCTATTTGGAGACCAAATATGCAGGAGGCTTTGAAAGGTGAATAGGAGCTCATCAAGTATATCAAGGAAAGGGAGCAGAGCAATCCACGCAAAGGCAAAGAAGAATTATTCTAAACAAAAGCTTCATCATGTACAATGGCTTGGTGTGCTGAAGAAACTTCTAGAAGTATTTCTGAGCAGCCAGTATAACAAGTATAACATGAGCAGCCAGGAACACCAAGAAATGAGACTGGACCAGAAATCATAAAGAGTAGATCACATGGCCCTGCCAGGGATATAGCTCAGTGGTACAGTGCTTGCCTGGCAAGTGCAAGGTTGTGAGTTCGAGTCCCATTACCCCCTGCCAAAAAATGAGATCGTATGTCTTTGGACATCAAGTCAAAAAAGCACTGACTTTACCCTGCAGTATCCCCAGCTACTCTCATCACAGTGAGAGTGGTGCTTTTATCAAGAGCAGATAAAAGTCACCTTAAAAGCAGAGCACAAGATTTATTTAAACACTCACCTCTTCTCTTAAACATCAATGAAAATTTTATGTCCCATGCCATGGTGTCTCACAGTATCCAAATCTTTTGAAAAGATGCTAAAGTTAAATGCTCCCTCCATCCCAGGCCTTCTAGAGAAACACGCCTCAAGAGGAAGTAGCTCTGTGCAGAAGTCTTTATCTGCAGCTCTGCTTACTTCTACTGGGAGGATTCCTGAAAGTAGAATTAAAAGCTCAAGGGATATTAACTTTTCAAAGGCTCAGTATAGGCTGCCAAATTGTTTACCAGAAGGGCGAGTAGTTCTTTTTAACCAGAAGACTGCATTTAAATCCTATAAAGATCAATATTTGGCTAGACTCAGGGGCTTTGACTCTTCCGGTTTTCTACCATACCTTAGTGTACTTTTCATTCTCTTTTTTCATAAAGTCATCTGACTATACATGCCTACAGCTAAGTGAATCATGTTTCTCATTCTTTCATTTATTTTCTCATTTATAACTTTCACTGAAAAACACTCTAATGCATTTAATGGTGGGCACTAGATGGTATCGTCGGGGTTTATCCTCAGCCACCCAGTCTCCTCAACTCTCCTGTCCTCTTGGTATCTCATGTGGGTTGAGTTACTAATAATATGCTAATTATTTCCAGATTTGGATGCTTAGTCCTGACTTTCCCTGGAAGTTCAGACCTATACGGCCAATGGTCACAGCTGATAAACCCACCATTGACCTTGTTTATGAATCTAGAGTCACAGGTAGCTTCTTCCTCAGCTCCTCCCTCTGTCTAATTCCATGGGTCCATTCAGCACATCCTGCCAGATTTATCCTCAAGTGTTTCATAATCCCACCCCATTCTTCATGCATAGAAGGTGGCCCTCATCATGTTGCTGGGCATGACCATGAATGACTTCACGGTCCCACACCCCGACGGTCTTCAGAAGCCTGCGATCACATCAATATGGAAGAACAAGTCATGAACAGCCAGGTCACCTTAGCTATGCAGTTCCCAAAGACCGTCACATACACAAGCACAGCTGTGAACAGTGAAAATAACTACAAATATTACACAAATCTTCTATAAAGAACATCCCCAAGTATTAGCTTAGTCTTCTAATATGTTATAGAAAAAAACTGGC